AGTTCTCAAGAGGAACTCGTGTAGGAACTGAAGCCCACTTTTATCAAAATAATATTGTTTACCTATATGTGTATAGGTTATTTGGTAAGCAATGATGGTAGTGAATAATTACTCTTTTCTATTAATTGACGACGATGGAAGCAAGCACCTTGAAGCCATTGCCTAGAAGAGGGAACATTTAAAATTTCTTATGTTCTTTTTGTTTTTTCCTAACTTAACTCGCCTTTCCGCTCTTATGTATTTGAAAAAGGGTATACTATACCATATATGCACTAATGTGTGGATTTGAAAAATATTTATTTCAAATTTTTTGTCTGAGCTTTCACAAACAAGCATACATTGCATAAAACACTATTTACCTTTTCCAGTTATATCCAGTACATTGTTATAGTTATATCCAAGGGTTATCAGCGCATCTTACACTTTTCAATTAATTAATAACGATGTGAGGAAGCACCTTGAAGGCATTGCCAAAAAGAGAAGCATTTAAAATGACTTACATTCCTTTTTGGTGTTTCTTAGCTTACCCCCCTGGCGTTCCCCTCTTGAATTTGTAAATTGAAGACTGGGGGCTAGAAGTCCAAGGGTTGTTATTAAGGCCACAAGGGCAATATTCTTTTTGATGTGAATGCCATTCTTGCATGCGCACTTAGGATGTATTTAACTCATAGGTCCTAATTCACTAATTAAGCATTCTTGGGTGGATGTCTAGTACATTCCTTCACAACTTTATTTTCCGAACTCATTTCTCTATGGTATGTTTTTTACTAATTTTGTAGTGTTCTAACCCTGTGCAAATAAATAGATTTGTATTGACTCTATTGGTTGATTTTTATTACTGGAGTTCCTCTGCAGCCAGACAACTCACGTTGTGACACTGTTTTGCTACGTTTGCTACTTTTCCTACTTTTTAACTCAAAAATATTTGATTAACTTTCACGTTTGCTTTGTTTATTCTTATATAAAGAGTCTTAATTTTTCATTCATGGCATGCACACTTATGGACTTGTTTGTTACTGGTTTTTTAAATTGTAATATTGTGTTTTATATTGTTAACTCATTGAAGTATTTTATTTAATGTGATTCTTTTTTTTTTCTTTTCTTTTATTTGATGACAATTGGGATTTGTGATATTGTTAAATATTTTTTAAAAATTGGTTATTCCATTTTTTTTATCGAAAATACGAAGTGCATGTATGTGGCACCTGGGTCATCTCTACTCCTCTTGATGTAATATGGCTTGTGTTGTGATGCATTAGGTTGCAAGGCACTTCAACAGCACGATGGCTGATGCCCACGACACTGACAAGAATATTGAGATATGGAAGATTAAGAAGCTGATTAAGGCCCTTGAAGCTGCTCGAGGTAATGGGACCAGCATGATCTCTCTGATTGTACCTCCTCGGGACCAGATCTCTCGGATTACTAAGATGCTTGGTGATGAATTTGGAACTGCTTCAAACATTAAAAGCAGGGTCAATCGTCAGTCTGTTTTGGGGGCAATCACATCGGCTCAGCAAAGACTGAAGCTTTATAACAAGGTTCCTCCAAATGGTCTTGTCCTTTATACAGGAACTGTTGTAAATGAGATGGGAAGGAAAGAGGTAACAATTGACTTTGAGCCTTTCAGGCCAATTAATGCATCTCTTTACCTATGCGACAACAAGTTCCACACAGAAGCACTGAATGAGCTTTTGGAATCTGATGACAAGTTCGGCTTTATTGTC